AAAGAGTGCTATGACATTGATATTGCTCTCGACAATATGATGGGAACTGAGTTTGTGGATAAGGTGAGGGAGTACTTGTTGTCCATCGGCGAAGATGCACAGGGAGTTTGTGTTATCGAGAGGTACCTTTTTTTTTTTTTTTTGTATTTTCTCTGTGCAGGCCGTTGTCATTTCAAATTCGCCAAATTAACTTTCCGCGGTAAAATACCTAATAGAAACTATAGGCTTGATATCTGTTGCAAAAGATTACTACTGAATTCTGATGAATCATGAAAGTAATGCTGTGTTTAGATATTACATAATTGAGGTCTAACTCGAGCAAACCACATCATGTTTTTCACTTTTTTTTTTCTTCTTTTTTTCTCGAAACTATTTCGCCCTATGCATACTTAAGCGAGAAAGTGAGTGTTATCTGCAAAATTTGAATTTGGTGAGTATGGCTGAGTTTGACTGGAAGCTAGTTGGCTCGCTGGCCTCAATTTACAAGAAAATGTGGAAGTTTGATAACTATGCTTACTAATGTTATATTAAGTATTGATTTTCGTGGTTTTCCCTTATAGTATTAGGGTGTGTTTGGGTAAACAACTTAATTAAGCACTTATTGAATAAATGCTTATCATATAAAAGCACTTGTATATAAGTTGTTTTTATCATTGAAGAGGAAAAATGATTAAATTGCTTTTATACAAGTTATAAGCTGCTTTTATAAGTTATTTTGGATTCTATTGAAAAAAAGGTGAAAACAACTTATGGATATATTATAAGCTATTTTCATAAACTTTCCCAAACACTTACACAAGTACTTATGCCATAAGACAAGTTCAAATGAGTTATAAATAAGTTTTTATCAAATGCACCCATAGTAGTAGTACTTGGGAACAATGAAAAGAAATTATGAAAGGAAATGATTCTTTTCTTTTGATGGCATCTGGAATTTGTTTGGGTGGTCTGTAGTGCACAAGTCCAGCCAGCCATCTGTTGGATAAGTTTTGGGTCTTACTGTTAGGTCTCCCCCCCTCTCCTGCTTCTTATAGTTTGCCCAAATCTTATTTTTGGTGTGAAACCACAGGTATCCTCTGGTTCCTCCTTTCAAAACTATTTCTTCAGTTAATGTTTTGCATCTGAAAATTGCAGGCATTCCACTTTTTTTTTTTTTTTTTTTACCATTTGTTTTTTGTAAAGCATTATTTATTCTCTCTGTTTTTTTTTTTTTGCAGCAATCCTGACCAATCAAAACATTTGGAAACAGCAAGGATGCGTTTGTTTGATATGTGGATTGATTTTGTTAACCTGAGGAGTGAAGAATACACTGAGAATAGCCGCATTCCATCAAAGGTATACAGTTGCTCAGTCCTTTGGTTTTATACGAGTTTACTTATTCTGCTGTACTTTCAATACAGTTGCTCTAAATTTCTTATATTTGTTATTTTTATGTTTATTTTGGTCATGTAAGATGCTTATCTAGTTTCTTCTAAGTTGAAATCACATGTATGTACTCTCATGATTAGTTAAATGCTTAAGAAAGATGTATGATTATTATTAAGGTAAAATTCCTCTATACTTTGCACTTTTATTCATATTTAAGCTAATTTTATGTTAAGATGAATTGAACATGTATTTTTCATTTGGAATATTTGGTCTCCCCCCTTTCCATATCCTGGTCAAATTCAATGGAATAAAGATTACTTCATGTCTAACAGCAAAGATTTGGCACAGCAGAAGAGGATGCATATAGGAGGGATTTGACAATTAACAGGTATCTTTCTGTCCTTTTTTTTTTTTTTTTTTAATGTATCATTAAACAAGACAAAGAGAGAAGTACAAGACAGATAAATTAAAAAAAAAACTTCTTAGCATTCTAAGTGTTTTTGTTTAGAATAATACAACTAAGAATTATGCTGCGCTGCTAATGTATATGTTGGTTTGAGTGTACTTGAATATTCACCTCCTTTTGTACCCCTTTTATGAGATGGTTTCGTAAATCAATTTAGTTGTGCATGACAGCTTATTCTACAATATCAACACTGACTCAGTTGAAGATTTCACTAAGAGAGGTTGGAAAGGATCTTTTTCCTAAACAAGTATTTTACTATTTTATGAGCTACTTGTTTGTCCTTATAATAATCTATTTGGCACTTTCTAGGGATCTCGGATCTCAAGTCTGGTAAGATAGTGACACCTTTACCTCCAAAGGCCACCTTTCTTGATGACCCATTACGAGTTCTTCGAGCCATTAGATTTGGTATGTTATATTTTTTTACGATCAATCTTTTTTTTTTTTTGGTGTGTTGTGAATCTCTTGTCCCATCCTTTTGAAGTTTAAACTTGTTCTCCCGCTATATTGAAGAGACATTTTCATTATTTAGGTGCTAGATTTGAATTTACTCTTGATGAAGATCTGAAAGTAGCTGCTGCATGTGATGATGTGAAAGATGCTCTAGCTGCTAAAATTAGCAGAGAGCGCATTGGAACAGAGGTGTGTGATGTGGACCACTAATTGCGATTATCATACCTCTTTATTTAAATATTGCTATTGATTTGTTTCAGTTTATCTTGATTCATTATCTTTTTTCTATCTAAATAATATCTGGATATCAAAATCCTGATCTCAGATCCTTATTTTATTAATCAGGATAATTGTGATAGGTCTGTTAGTTCATTAAGCTGACATAATTAGAAGAAATAAATTAAATAGGAAGAAGAGTTGAGAAGAACGATAGTCATTTGGGTGAAACAGAATTGGGGCTAGGGAGAGGCCTTGATCCCTCGAATATTCAAGGAATTTTTTGTAAAGATACACACAACCAATAAAGAAATTCTTTCTTCCATTTCTGATTCAGTTTCTGTAAATTGCTTGGTATGATCCTACTAATTAGGGTTCTCTTTTATTTTATCAATTAGGATACTTGCTAGTCATGATCCTATTAATTAAGGATATCTTTGTAGCGTTTTTAAAGGGCTGACTTGATTGGATGTCAGGATTTAGAAATAAGTTTCACTAAAACTTGTGTTAGTCTAGGAGGGGCTTGTCAAGGATTAGTCTACTTGCTTTCACCATAGGTTGCAAGAAGAATTATTTTGTGTTCAGGTCTGTGACTCGTTCCTATGCGAAGGTTCAGAACAGTGTGTTTAAAGTTCTAACTCTTCCATTACTTCAGTGTAGATATCTTAGAATGTCATTTTCAATTTTGGAATGCTATTGGTACTTGTGTATGAAGATGTCCTTGTGTATAAAGATATGCTCGTGTTTTTTTGTCAGTACTGAAAATCTTGCCATTCATTCTCTTATGTCTATGTCTGTATTTTTAGATTGATCTTATGATATCCGGAAATCAACCTGTCAAAGCAATGACTTATATTTGTGAGCTGACACTATTTTGGATCGTGTTCAGTCTTCCTCCTGAATTTGAACCCACCATTTCAGATGGATGTGAAAGGTAAAGTTTGTAGATAGATTTGAAAAATGTTTCTTTGCAGGTTGAATGTGCATAATGATTGCAAATCCGTTTATTGATGACAATCTCATTTACATATTTTGTACAGAGTAAGAGTTAGCTTGATATTATTGCCTCTTTTCCAAAAAACAAAAATGCGACAACAATGATAGATGTTTGTGATGAACTTCACATTTGAAACAGTATTCCTTTTTGAGATGTTTGCAAGTGTATTCACAGTTACAGACACTCTGAAGATAGATTATTATTTTCTTTCCTTTTTCTTTTGTCTCACTGGTTATTGAAGCGTTGCTTACAATATGTATATTTTTATTTAGCCAATAAATTGGAACTAGACTAAAGCTGAACCTGTAGAAGACGAAATAGATGAAAACCATAAAGTTGGGTGTGGGTTGCTATAACATAATTATAATTCAGTAATCTTGAACTGGTTTCTTATCAACAATTGGTCATTAATTGAAGATTTTAAGTGCCATGTTTTGGCACAAACACCCAATAGTTAATAATGTTGCTAGTTCCGAAAACCAGATCCAATACAAAAGTCTCCACTTCCATCTAGTCTGTGAAGTTATACAAATGGTTTGACAGATACAAGAGTAAGGTGCTGAAGAACTACAAACCTATGAATGTAAGAGATTCTTTGGCCTGACTTATGTAAGATTGTATGGAACTTATTTGACAGGACTTTAGGAGGATATATATATATATATATATATATATATATATCAAATCTAGATTCTGGAAGGCATTACCGGATGATTTGATCACATTACAGTTCATTTGGTATATTGAGTGTTTAAATGACTTGCATGTGCATAGATTGAATGGGGTTGTTTTTTGAGTTCTTCCATTCCCAAATGCTGACCTCTTTTACATCTTAAAATTTTAATAGCCACAACCTCCTTGTATGAACAGTTTGAATATTCAGTCCCAATTATATTGAGACTAAAAGCAAAGCTTATTATAGGCTTGGGCAATCCTCACCTTATGAGCTAGCTTTTGTGGTTGAACTAAGCGTGGCCTTAATTGAAGATGGTCTTGGAGCCTATCTAAAGCCTATCATAGAGATGATATTGGGCCACCCTGGCTGGGTTTCCAAATGCAATCAATAAATAAAATTCATTCCTACAATCTTCGTACTCTAGATGTCCAATCTTTCGCATGAGGGGGTGTTGAGATTTCACATCGACTATAAATATGACTAAAGTAGATCTAATACATGCTTAGGCAATCATTGCCTCATGTACTTAGCTTTTGGGGTTGAGTCAGTCCCATCCCAAATTCAAGATCTTTCACCTGTGCTGTTAGAACATTACGATTCTTACATGTCATTAATCTTGTTAGGTTAGAAATCTAATTAAGCTTTGCTAGTACTTGCAGTATTACACTTGATCTAATTATTTGTATAAAGTGGGTGTGACATTGGTATTTGGGTTTATTATGTATTATATAAACCTTATATCAATCTGGGTATTGGAGTCTCCATTCTCTCATTATTTACTTCCCCACTAAACCTTATAATCATGCTCAGTTCTTTATTTTGTTTTTGTCTATTCTTTTGTACGGAGATGGATTTTTGTTGGTCATGCTAATAAGGTATTTTTAAAACTTTTTCCAGGCTTTGCATTTCTTGCTTGGATGCTGCATGGAACCTTATCCATTTACTTGGAGGGTCAACCTTTACTGTCAGTAATCAGTTAAACTTTATTTTTTGCAATATATTATTTTCTTACATTTTTATTGTCATTATAGGGAGTTGCATGTTTGTTCCCATACCACTTAAGGTTTGTTTGGCTATCTTATATGCTGATATGCAATTTCTGTATATTTTAGGCTGAACAACAAAGGTTAACGCTTTGTGCTGCTATGTTTCTCCCTCTTAGAGATACTACTTACAGAGAAAAGAAAGCTAAGAAGGTATATATACTCATTACTTTCTATATATATTAGTACTATTTTTGATTTGGCATATTAAGCTGCTATTGCGTTGACTTGGAGCTCTGTGATTTGAATTGAGTAATTGATGCATCTAGCACAATGTCCGTATTAGATTTCCAACTCTAGTTATTTTATGCCATTTGTCAAGTGAGAATTGAGCCAGTTATCAAAGGTTTTGATGAAGGGTTTATTTGTATGCAGTTTGTCCCAATCTCCCAACAGTTGGTAGATTTTCTAACCAAAGGACTGTTTTGGCCTCATTTTGAATGTCTTGTTAGCAAGTTGGGCAAATTGGGTATCTATGTTTTAACTTAAAAAAAAAAGGGGGGGGGTTCTAACTTCAAAGTTGTTGGGATATTGTACAATAAATTAATCCTAGACCCTCAGGATAGATTAGTTTTTTACTGATCTTGTCCTTATTTTTCTGTTTTAATTTTCCTGTGTTATTTATTTTTGAATTTGATTGGTTAGAAAACCTCTAACCAACTCTGCCTATAAATCTCAATCTCTGTAAATGAATATGAAATAAATTCTTTTTTCCTCTTAACTAAAAATAAAAAAAATTGTCTTGGTACCTGCATTGCAGTTTTCTGGCACTTCTAATTAAAAAAAAAATTAAAATGATGATCGGGTTTGAACTTAGCCAAGTCAAGCCTTGATCTAAACTTCAGGTGTTTGAGCTTATAAACTTGAAGATTCTTGGTTCAATTCCTCCCCTGCAGAGTGGGGACTAATATGTATGCTGTGTGTGCTCAATGGGGGCATGTGTTCATTGTACCTTGTGTCTTTTCATGTGATTATTATTTCAAGTGACATCATGGTTAAATAGCCTAATATGTGATTCTGAATTATAGATTCCTGTTGTCAATCATATTATCCGGGAGTCTCTCAAGCGAAAAGCTAAAGATGCTGAAATGGTCAGTTTCCTATCCTCTTAGCCTTAGTAAAATCCAAAGGATGTATTAGAACTTTATGATGTGAATTATATTCAGTATTATTGTCTCTGGTTGATATTTTGTGTTGGTTAACATGTCTTGTATTGTTCCTCAAAATCTAGGTGCTTAACTTACACCAAGCATCACATAAATTCTTGTCATTGATCCCTTGCCTTGTATCTAGTGATGACGTTCAAGTTGTTGATCATGATTGGATGAGAGACTTAGTTGATGTCCCTGTCTCTTCTAGAGTCCGGGTACAAACAGGTACAGTTTTCTTGCTTTGCTACCTTAGTATCACATGGCAGAATGCTGATTTTGGTTTGTGTTAGAAATCTAATATAGAATCACTTATGCATCTTCACCTAACAGCTTAAGCTTTTTGGAATTGTTGGTTCTTGACATCGTATTGGAGCTTCTACGACCAAATGGTCTAAAGTTCAATCCTTGCTTTAACCATTCTTTAAGAAAGTTTAATTTCATATAAGTAGTTAGACTTGTGCATTGTTCATGCTTCAAGTCTAAATGGGTCGTGTAAGGGGGCATGTTAGAAATATACTTTGAAACTATTTGAGTCTCCACCTAATAGCTTAAGCTTTTGGGATGGTTACTTGGTGACAAATAGTCATTGTTGACCTTAATATGCAGTTATGCATTTTCATGTTGACATATAGTTCTGCAGACTCTACTTTTTCATGATTTCATATGTTGCAGTTTTAATTTTACTATTGTCTTTGTAGTAGAAAGTAGCTACAACCCGTATTTCCTTGTATTCATTTTGCAGTCACATTTTTCTTATATTCAACTTTTGCTTAGTCAAGCCACAGGTAACACTTTTTTGCCTGTTCAGACATAAATTTTTTTTAAACCACTAGACTAAATTGCATCAATAGAAGAACAAAACAGAAGATATTGGATTTCCTTAAATTATGAGGTCTGAATTAAACGGAGTATTGCACTGTGATTCTTGCCTGCTAAGCGATTGTGCCTTATGATGTGAATCTGTTGTGGCTGAGCAGGGCTTTTATATTTTATTTGTTTAGGGTTTCTCTTAAGAGAGGTTAAAGATTATTGGCGAGTTGCACTGTTGATATCCACTATATTACATCATCCTATTGACATTAAGGATGAGCCCTCACAGTTGAAAAAACGAAGCGATCTGTTTAATACTGTGGAGAATTCTATCATAAAACTAGGTAAGCTTTGTGGCTCTTGTCAATTTTGTGATGCCTTAACTTTTAGATTTTGTAACTGCCTTTTCTTGTTCTTGTTCTTTATATCGTCTGAAGTCAAATACTTGTTCTGTCAACCATATTCATACCAATGATCCTGTTTATCAGAGAATTTGAACTTGTATTTATTTATTTATTTATTTATTTTATATGTAAATTTGTCAATGTGTTCTTTGATCTGAATAATTGAATGTTCATTTGGCTTATAATCCTTTTCTTCTTTTTCTTTTGATTTGGACGCTTTGTCCTAATCTAGGACAGCTTTGCATTTGTAGTGCAGTCATGTCCCAAGTTAGCTAAAATAGGAGAGCTTAAATGTATAAGGTGAAAAGTGATTAGGAATTCACATTCTGTAAAGTGAAAATGCTCTTAGATGTAAGCAGGCATGCAGCTATTTGAATTGGTGACAGTTTGTTTCAATAATTCAATATGAATGTCAATGAACTATGTTGTGGTAGAAAGTATAGTTTACGGTAGAAAATTACAAATGAAATAAAAAAAGACCAGACAAAAATTGATTGCATATCATGTCACACATTATAGTTTGTGTTTGACAATAGATGTGTTCTACTTTATGCTGGTGATACTCAGTTTGTTCTCAAATTTCTTTTTTAATTAACCATTTTTGTGGATAGCAGGCCTTGAAAAAGTATGGGACATAAAACAATTGATCAATGGCAAAGATGTTATGGATGCCCTACAGCTTAAAGGTGGACCTCTTGTTAAGCAGTCGGTAGGTCACTTTGCTAAGTGCATTTTCATTTTCACTCACTCGCACACAGGTGTACTCTGCCTTGAAATTTAATGTTTTCATTTTCACTTGCAGCTGGATAAAGCAATGGCTTGGCAACTTGCCTATCCATCTAGAACTGCAGAAGAATGCATTGAATGGTTGAGAGAAACCAATTCTAAGCGTGTTAAGTTACAGTAACTTCAGCGAGGTTGGTTGTGTGGTGAAGTTTCCCTGCCACTTACAATTTTATAAAGCCTAGCACAGTAGTTCCTTCTCACTTTTGGATGTAAATTTGCACTTTGGGAAGTATAATTTATTTTTTTGGCTTACTGTGAGAAATAGATATCGTAGCCTTTTTATTTTATTTTATTTTTGTTTAAAGATATTTATTCAAATTGTGCATACCCTCGGCACTTGAAGATTGAGCTTACCTATTAGGAATCAAGCAACCATTTGTATTTATTAGATAATATTGTAATGACATCAATTGCGTAGCGTGGAAGTCTCTGCATTTTATCTTCCCAGGAACATAATGCATTTTGAGACATAATATATCGTAGCACAAACCTTCACTTTTATGTGCTTGCGGTGGAATGACATAATGAAAGTTACTTGAGGCGGATGCACCGCGGAAATAGATACGCACTTGTATCGGTGTGCAAATGGTATTGCATGTTAGAATTTTTTAAAATGCCTTCTCTTCCCCTTTAAAAATAGTTTTTCTTTCCATTTAAAAAAAACATTTGATTTTCTATTAAAATTTAAATTTAAAGTCACGCATACCAATAATGTTCATTTTATTATTTTATGATAGGTAATAATATTTATTTTAAAGATTTATAAACAAATTTATGATTGTCACAAGTTGACATAATATCGCAAACAAGTGTTGTGTCATTTACATAGTGTTTGATTGAAGTAGAGAGAAGAGGCGGAAATGAATTTTTATAATTTTTTTTTGTTTGATTCAATTTTTAGAAGAGGAAGAATGTGGAGTAAAATTTTACCTCATTTAATTTTAGTTTCTTTCTAATATTAGGAGGATTTGGAGGAAAAGAAAAGGATTTTAAAATATTTCACTAAAATGCATAAAATATCCTTATATATGTATTTTTTTAACTTTAAAGTTATAAAGATATAAAAATAAATTGAATTTTATGTTTTTTCATTTTCTTGTGAATCAAATAAAAAAAATGTTCTCTTTTTTCTCTTTAACCAAACAAAATTTTTAACTCATCTCTTTTATATTTTTTTTCCCATTAAAATTTCTTTCTTTTTCTCATATCTTTTAAACCAAATAGATTTTTAAAATTATTATTTAACCTTCTTTTAAATACAAAAGTTGTTTCAAAGAATAACAAAATAATAAAGATTAAAAACAATGATATCAAATTTAAAGGATGAAAGTTAAAGATTATTTTTATGGGACTTAAAGTTAAAATTTACTTATTTTATCCAAACTAAAAATATATTTAAGTTTATATTATGTTGTGTTTTATAGATAATTAATATTTTAGTCTTTGCAATATATAAAATAATTAATTATTTTATATAACTAAATTTATAATATAAATATATATTATATATAGATAGATAAAAGAGAGAAAATTATATAACATAGTGGGAGGTGAGAGAGAGAATCGATTCATTCTCTCTTAAGTCTTAACACATTTTTTTTTGAGATAAAATAAATTTACAAAATAAATGATAATAAATAACGCATTATAAAGGATATGATAATTATTTTATGATTTAATTACATTTTTTCCAATAATTTCTTCAACTTTTTTAATCTTTATTTTAGTTCTTATATATATAATTTTTTTTTAATTTTTCAATTCCTTTCATGCATAAGGATTAAAATATAATTTTTATCAAAAAAATAAAATGCATAAAAATTAAAATAAATATTTTAATTATAACAAATGAGGATCTTCACATATTGGATTAGATCGATTTTGAGAGAAAAGATATTTGTGGTAAAATAGTAAATACAAAACAATAATTTTAGTTAATAAGTGATAAATATGAATATTAAAAAGTCATTAAAAGAATAAAGATAAAAATAATAAACATCATTTTAAATATTGATGATAATTTAATTTTAATAATAGGTTAATACTAATATATATTTAATAATAAAAACAATGTTTGATTTAATTTGAATTATATTGATTTTTTCATAATAATAAAAAATGATTCAATCCAACTTTTTAAAAAATCAGTTTATTTCAATTTTCAATTTTTTTTAATTTATTTTTTAATTGGGATGTTACTTTTAGATTGGACTCAATCGATTATGTGATAAAATTGACTTTTTTTTTAAAGAAAAGTTTAGGTGAATGACAAAATTGATGATTCTAAATAAGAATATTTTTAGTTAATCAACACTTTCACTTACTTTCTCATTTAGTAAAATAAGTGAAGCTACGCGAAAGTAAAATAAAAATAAAAATAAAAATAAAAATAAAAATAAAAATAAAAATAATAATATTTTTAATTAAACTTTGTTTTAATAGAAAATTATGAGTCAGGTCGATTTAGTCGTATTCGACGTACCGAAGCAACAATGAAGAGGTCATTTTTTTGAATAGCATCTGATCCATGGGTAGTGAAAAGGAATCAGAGTAAAGGTTAACGGAATACGGATTAAGGAAAATACATAAAAGGGTTTCTGTTGGGATTGGGATCCAACACAGACAAACGTGCCAAGATGAGGACGAGGGTTTTGGTGGTTTACAGTGTGTTCCTGTTGATCCAGTTTTGGCGTGGTGAGGCCGAGACGTTCTCGGTGGATGGAAAAGTTTTGATTTTGGACGAATCCAACTTCGATTCCGCCATAGCCTCCTTCGATCACATCTTGGTTGACTTTTACGCTCCCTGGTGTGGCCACTGCAAGCGTCTATCTCCCGAGGTACCACTTTACCCTTCTTTCATGGGTCTCTTCAAGTTCTCATTTTGATTCCATACTCTCTTTCATAACTCTCTTTTTATTTCCTTTTGCTTCATGGGTCATGGTTGTATGTATGGAAGCATGTATGTGTCGATGATGGTGGACAATGCATCTTATCTATCACGATGTTCATATTTGTCTTTAGTGGTTTGTTCGACGAGTATTGATTTTAAATGTAGTATCATAATACTGTTGCTTGTTCCTGTCAGATGTGAACTTTATCAAAGGTCATTGAGATATAAATAGACTTGTGATGTGAGTTGTGATACTATGCTGGATTGCCGTTTATGTATAGTTTTGCTTGATGAGAGATTAATGAGTGTCGATTATGTTGCATTTTGTGTGAGAATAAAGGGTGTGATTTTCTGCCTTGCAGTTAGATGCGGCTGCTCCTGTACTTGCAGCCTTGAAGGAACCCATAGTCATAGCAAAAGTAGATGCAGACAAGCATACCGGCCTTGCGAAAAAACATGATGTTGAGTATGTTTCTGTGGCCCTAAAGATATATATGGCTGTTGGAACTGTCTCTGTTTCTTAATAACTTTGATATAACTGTTGCTTTTATGGTTTCAACAATTAAGGATACAAATGCTTTTATTTCTGGAATGAACTCACACGATATTTCTACTCTGTTGTGTAGTGCATACCCGACCATTTTGCTGTTTAATCATGGTGTCCCCACAGAATACCGTGGACCAAGGAAGGCAGATTTACTTGTTCGGTATCTGAAGAAATTTGCTGCTTCTGATGTTTCCATTCTGGATTCAGATTCTGCTGTGAATACATTTGTTGAAGAAGCTGGCCCTTTTTTTCCGATTTTTATAGGTTTTGGGTTGAACAATTCAGTTATAGAAAATTTTGGCATAAAGTACAAGAAAAATGCATGGTTTTCTGTGGCAAAGGATTTTTCAGAGGATCTCATGGTATTGTATGACTTTGATAAGATTCCTGCATTGGTTTCCCTTAATCAACAGTATAATGAGCGGAACACATTCTATGGACCCTTTGAAGGTTAGTTTACATCGTAGATAATCAAGGTCACTTATGGTTATTTATTTTATGTGTTTGTTAGTTAGTCTATCTAACTTTCTTGAACTCCACTTTTCCTATAGACATTTATTTGTGTCTTTGACTGGAATTTGACACTTCCAGGAATACATGCTGGCATGATAGTGAAATGCTGTTTCATTTAACCTTTTTTATAAAGGAGGAAATGGTAGTTAATTTTTTATACTATTTTCTTTTTAGTATGGGATTTATACGCCGCACACATTGTTGTATTAATCTCATCTTGGTAAACATGCCTCATGGACTCAGACCTGTTAGTATATGTCAATTGTCAAAGACTAATTCTCCTACCTAAAAGTATAAGCTTTTAGGTAGACTGAAGATGAAATCTAAGCTTTAACATGTAATAGGTTCATTTAAAAGGCCTTTCTTGTTTCATGGTAGAAACGGAAGTTTGAGAATTCTAATACTACAGTGATGTTTCTTTTTCCCTTATAAAATCTGAGCTTGAATGTCAGCTATTAATCTAGATTCTAGAATGCCTTTCTTGCTTCACTAGAAGTTAATGTTGTGAGCTCATTAGCACTTCTTGAATTACATTGTAATATATTTTGTTTTACCTTCTCTCACATTGTGTTGTATTGGAATTGTATTTGTTTTTGTAAGTATGCTCTTTTAATGTTTTAACTTTGATACATCATTATAGGAATCTTTTGGTGAGTAATGTTTTTGTTTTCATAAAGCAGAGGAGTTTTTGGAAGATTTTGTAAGACAAAACCTGATTCCTTTGGTTGTGCCTGTATCCCCTGAAACACTTAAGTTGGTGAAAGCTGATGGTAGGAAAATAGTTTTGACAATTGTTGAGGATGAAGATGAAGAAAGATCAAAAGAACTGATCAAGTTATTGAAGGCTGCTGCATCTGCGAATCGTGACTTAATATTTGGTTACCTCGGAGTTAACCAGCTGGAAGAATTTGCTGAAAAATTTGATATTGACACCAAACTACCCAAAATGGTCATTTGGGATAAAAGTGATGAATACCTTACAGTAAGTCAATGATATTTAATTTTAATAGTTATTTTAGTTTATCCTAATTGTAGTTCTGTAAATGATGTGTATTGTGGTCTCTATTTGTCTTGTACTCTTGTTTACATGCCTAGTTTCAAGTTCCTTTTTTTCTCATTCTGATACTCTTCTCTTGCATATCTTATTGTTATCAATTTGAATCTATATTTATATACTTGTGTATTTGCAAGATGAGTTGTGAAGTCTTGTATGCTGACATCAATGTCATGTAAATAGGTATCTCGGATTATTTATATGTAGGGTACACTTAGCAGTTAGCATTATAAAATAGAAGTGAGAATTGAAATTCCCCAGTATTAAATACTCCCTTTGGACCTATATACAAGCAAAAAAGTACTTAAATTTTTTTGACTCAAATATAAGCAAATTTAAACTAAGTCAACTTTATTTAATGCTCTTAATCCAAAAATACCCCTAATGCAATAAATGAGAACACTATCTATTATAAATGTGATTAAAGATATTTTTAGTAAATGTATATATTTTATATGAAATCGTGAAAATTAAATACATTTAACTATCTTTCTTAATCTATGTGAAATTAATCATTTTTGCTTATATATAGGTCCAGAAAGAGTACGTGCTAGAACTTAATTCCCTATGATTAATGTGGCTATTAAAATTCTTTTCAGTATGTATAAACTGGTATAGTCAAGAGTAAGATTTTGGATTGCAATGTGTCACACATTCCGATAAACCCATCATTTCAAACATTAGCATCCTAAATTTGGGCATCTTATTGGTGAGGATGTGTAAATGTGGAGCATGCTAAATGTCTCCATAATGTGTACCTATAGAGCTGTATGTCCTTTGATCATCAGTTGAAGGATTGATTTGTGATATTTGACCTGGAAGGCATGAACTAACCTATATTGGTTCTTCATTTTAAAGGTTGGTGTTGATGAGATTTTCCATATTTTTACCTTTTTGTTTTTTTAAAAAAATAGTAACTCAAGGATTCCCTCAATTGCCCACCCAATTTTTTTTAAAAGATTTCCCAGTATAGACATATCTAGGGTTATGAGAGTTGTTATGTGTACATAATGTTCATATCCTATTTGGGGCAAGTGATTGTTGGAAAATTTGTTCAAACGAATTGAACCTCTTCTCCACATCTTATCATTCTTCCTTTCAAGGTTCTTGTCTACATCTCAAGGGAACGTATATTGTCAATATACTGTCATTTGGAGCTTTTATTAAATCTCAATGTACAACTACTCTTCATTGTTATGTCTTGGTCACTTTCAATATTAATGCAGCTGTGTTAGAAAATTCTTCCTCATTTTGTATGCCTTCCTGATCAATTGTGCACTTTGCTGTGCTTATCAGCTATGATTTATGAAGGGTTGAAATGCATTTGTCCATAGCATATTATCAATGTCATTGTTACATTTGAAAGTTTCTTACACATCCTTTTTCCGGTTAGTTAATGCATTTGATTAGTCGACTTCCATGCTACATTGCTATCGAGTTATCATGGTAACATGAACTTTTTATCTGCCGATTGTTGTGTACATTTGTGCTTAAGATTTTCATAATCTGGGAACCAATGCCATTTCTTAAATAATCTTCAGGTTGTTGATTCAGAAAGCATTGAGGGGGAGGATCAAGGAACTCAAATCAGTAAATTTCTAGAAGGATACAGGGAAGGAAGAATTGTAAAGAAATCATTTAGTGGGCCTTCACTAATGCGATTCATCCGTCGGTCTTTTGACATTAGGATGGTGTACATCGTTGTTTTTGTGGTGGCAGTGCTGATGCTTATTCAGAGCTTCAGTAAAGGAGGTGATGAATATCAAAGTGTACCAAATCAAGTTCAAACTGATCATGCAAGCAGTTCTGTTTCAGAAGTTGAAAGCAAAGAGTATAAACCAGGTGACAAGGAAGACTAAATTGACAAATAAAATGATAATCAGTGAACTTGATCAGGGTTATTATAGAAATAGCTGGCTTTAGAATTATTACCGTACCTATTGGTATGTGTAAATATATTTTGAGTTTGTGTATCTCCATAATTTTGACTACTGTCTAAACTCTTACATTTCATTTGCACGTTTTCACTAGTTATTTCTTAACATGAAAAAGGATTATTTATTACTTTAAAGATGCCAAAGATGAAATTGTTAACTTTATTATAATTTACATCCTTCCTAGATGATATTAGAAGACTTATATATGTTTTTAGTCTCTATAAAATGAACAAGTTTTGATTTTGATCTTCATAAAAATATTTCTTTTTTATTTTTTATCCTTCTTAAATTTATAACTATTATTTTTAATCATTGTTATTATGTAATCATTTTTAATTATGTATTTATTTATTAAAAGGTTAAGTGATCATTTTAGATGTTATCCATAATTGTAAATATGTTAGTAATACAATGCTAGTGTTACATCTTTAACTTTTTTTCATAAATCCTTAAAATGAATGTTATTTATTTATCTCACAATCATCATTTGAGATTAAAAATTGTGTTTTAGATTCTAGAGGGGGTGAAAATCAAATAAGAAATATTTTGCAAGGATCAAAACATGATGTTTATAAATTTTAGAAAGATAAAAGCATATATTTATTTTATAAAGAATAAAATTAAAATTTATTTATTTTATGGGATTAAAAATGTATTTAAGCATTATTAGTACATGTTAGAATTGTTGTTAGTCTTTATTTGATTTGTATGGATAGATCATACTTCTTTTTTGCATCATAGTTGAACAAGGTTAATATAAAAAAAGTAATGTTCATTTGCATTTCAACAAAAAAAAAAGTTAAAAAATGTAAATCATTTTCTAAATGTAGGGAA